CCAATGTTTAGGTTTTATTGGTCTTATTCTGTACTGTTTTGTTCAATTTTATTATACCCAATGATATAAGCAATTCTTTTTAAGGAAGCAAGAGGCATTGTGGTAACCATTGTAGATAACCTTGTACTCTGTTTTTACATCATGTGCTATGCCTGTCCTTTGTTTTGACTGACTGCTTTGTTTTGTCATATTTGGTTTTATTCTCTTCCAAAAAAAAGTAATAAGAACTATGGGAGTAATAAAACCCAAAATGTTTAAATTTTGTTGTAAAAAAAGAGAGGGAAAAAAGTGCTCTAAAGGATACAACTGCAAGTGTGTTTAGGTGTGTTTAGAAGACCATATTACTAAGTTTTTGTTGGATCATTGAATACAACTGTTTTCAGTCTCACTGTTTGAATGTCCACTTTGTATGCTTTAATACTATAACTTGAACAACTATTTCTAAGATGACAATATGTAATCTATTAACTAGTGATTTCTTAACGATTTTTTTGTAATTCTGTATTACTTGTACCCTTATACTGTTTTTTTCTTTAAATAAAAAAAAAAGAGAGAAAGATCCAAATGAAAATGATCAATATTGAAGGAAAGAAAAGAAAATTTCAGATGTAGTTAATAGGAGTTTCTGAAGAAGGAATTCAAAATAAGAAAATAATAAATACTAAAATAATGATTCAAAGAAATCTTACTCCCCCAAAAAAGTCATTTTAAAGCTCATATTGAAAGTACACATGGCATTTCTACAAATCCAGAATAATGAACTCCAAAACACAACCTAGTAAGGTTACTGGACTCTAAATTTTTTTAAAAAGCCTTTGGGCATCTTGGGGAGAAAAACACCTAATCACTTATAAGGGGAAAAAAACAGATAATCATCAGACTTTGCAAGAGCAGTGTTTTATGCCAGAATAGAGTAATATATTTAAAATACTCAAGAAAAAATGTGCACCACAGATTTGCTATCTAGCAAAACTGACTTTCAAGTATAAGAGTAGCAGTTAAACTGTTGCCAGCATGCAAGAATTCAGGGAATATTGTTCCCATGAACCCTTCCTGAAGAAGCTACAGACAGAATGAGCTTCAGACTGTAAAATCCCTAGAGAGACATTAACTTAAGGGCTGATAGTAAGCATTAAATATATATTTACCCTTGAAAGTAAAGCTAAATCAGTGCTAAGAGCCAGAGAGGATGTATCTTGCATAATGGTTATATGCTTTGACAATGCAAATATAACACTATTAAAAATAGAGGGAAAATAAATGCAAAAATACCTTAGGTTTTCAAGAATGATATTGTTGATGATATTTGCATTGTTATTTTAAGACCTTTGTGTGATAAGACAAAACAAATGAATAATTATGGGGTTATATAATTCTGTCATTTCCTATATCCTTAAGAATCAGGATCTATGTAAGAAAACAAAAGGATATAATTTCATTGTGACACAGCTATGAAAGAAAAGGCTAGATACTGGTGTTACAAAGAAGTATAAATCTAATCTCACATATAAATAAAAATAAAGAATTGAATGCTAAATATTTAATCTTTAAATGCATTCAGTTTAGTCCACTAAAAAGGACTAAAAATCGTGATCAACCTGGTAGTAATGACCATTGCTTGTGTTCTTTAAAATCAAACAATGAATTATAGGAACAATGGAGGTTAAGAGCAGAAATATTTATTGAGAGAAACAAAGCTTCTATCTAAGAGAGACAGAAGGGGTCCCCAAGTGGGTTGTCAAAGATTCTGTATTTTCTAAGGATTTTTATAGAATAAAACCATGAGGTTAGGTAGGTCTAAAGTGGGGAAAACTGGGAACTCACAAGGCAGATGGGCATAAGGTGGGGCAGAGCTATGGTCAGTCAAGAAGTTTAATTGTTCAGGGAGAACTGACCAATCATGGACAAATGAGGAAACGAGTCACATAGCAAGTGAGCATTCTTTATGGATCAGTGACTTTTCCCATAGGGAGCTGGGAAGGGGACTCTTGGTTTCTCAAGGTAATCCATACCTAAAACCTAATTTTTGTTCACACTTAGGGGTGTGGTTGCATTTGTTTTGCCTTCTATTTTGAGATCTGACCCACAGCAAAAGGTATATGTCTTCAAGGTCACAAGACATCTGGTCCTCCGTGGCAGCTTCCTCAGGGCCTAGCCCTGTCTGACTGCCTATAATATTTCTAACTAGCTCAGGTGTCTATAGCAGTTATCAATGGATGCTGTGATTACTTATAGAGAGATAGCCAAAATTTGTATGTCTTGTAGAGTTTTATAAAAATCATTGCAAAAATATTGACCAAACCAGAAAAAAAGACCAAGTATAAAAAGATCACCTTTAATCTTGCTGAAGAGATTGAACTCAGGTCTAATCCAGTAGCTAAATTCAACTATGAATTTGAGGAAATTCAAAATATGGAGGAAAGTGTTGAATCAGAGTATCAATCAGCAAAATGCAAACTATGGGAAACATTACAGGTTAAACAATCCATGTTCTTCAATTACATGGAAGACAATAAAAGGGGTGGAAGAGAAATACATAGGTGAAAAGAGATTTAAATGACATCCACATTTTAAATGGACAAAATGCCATCATGGTTCGTTTAGTTCCACAGTTTAAACTATAGAAAGAAAAATTTAAAGTTATTAATATCAAAATCAGAATGATTATCCGTGGCAGAGGAGGAAGTTTATCACTGGACAAGATGATGGAAGGGGACAAGATGATGGTGTGGCTCACAAGGTCCATCTCTTCCATCTCTGAGTGGTTTCTGTCTTTGAAATTTTTGATGCGTGCATTTGCTTTTGTGTTTTATGTATCTCAGTTTTAATTTTTCACTTTACACTGAAGTGCTTATAAAACTGAAAAGCCTTAGAGCAGTTTGTTGTTCTTTTTTATTAGTATGTTTATTAGGTACGGAATGCTGAGGTTCATTTGGGGAAACTAGTATTTGCATATAATATGTGAGCATTTTCAATCCTTTTACTTCGCTTTTACATCTTTCTTCCCCCAGTTCCCTTCTTTGTCTCCAAAAGTCTGACTTCTTGTTTCCTATAAGTTCTCCTTCATTTTATTTATTAATTGTTTATATTTAAGCTTTCTTATATACAAAAAACATCTAATATTTAACTTTCTGTGTCTCTTATCATTATGAACTTGTTTCATCCATTTTCCTGAAAATGAGGTGACTTAATTATTCTTTACAGCTGAATAATATTCCCTTGTGTATATTACCATTTTTTTTTTTTTTTTTTGCCCATTCATCTATTGACAGCCATTCAAGCTGTTTCCAGAGCTCAGCTATTATGCTTTGTGGTTGTATAAATATGGGTATGGATTTATCACTATAGTGTGGTTTTTTAATTTTTTCAAAAATATATCCAGGATAGGTATAGCTGGATCAAGTGACATATCTAGTTTTAGAGGTTTTCTTGAGGCATCTACATACTGATTTTCATAGTGATTGTATAGTTTGCATGTAATACTCAGATATTATATGCAAATAGTGTAGAATAGCTCATTCTTGTGACCATCTGTTGCTTTTTGTGTTTTAATGATAGGTATTCTAACTTGGATAAGACGGAATCCCAGTTTTGATTTTTCTTTTTCCTAGTAGATAAAGATATTGAACAGTTTCTCAGATATTTATTGGCCATTTAGCTAAAACAATTTGGTAGGAGGAAGAAATAAAAGGTACATATATAGGAAATCAAATGACTCATATTTGCAGATGATATGATTCTTTACATGGAAGACAAAAAATACTATCAGAAAACACGTCTGTCTGGTAAACAAATTCAGCAAAGTGGCAGGACACAAAATTAATACATAGAAATCAGTAACATTCCTGTAAATGAATAATGAATTCATGCTGAAAGAAATCAGAAAAACAATTTTATTCATGATAGCTTCAATAGTTAAATAAAATAAGTAATAGTTAAGTAAAATAATTAAGTTAAGTAAAATAATTAAGAATCAAGCTAACCAAGGAGTGAAAAGCCTCCATAATGAAAATCTCAGAACTCTGAATAAAGAAATTGAAGAGGGTATTAGAAAATGGAAAGACATCCCTTATTTTTATGTTGCTAGAATTAATTTACTTAAAATGGCCATACTACTAAAAGCAATCTACAGATTCAGTGAAATCCCTATTAAAATACCAAAACATTATTCACAGGACTAAATTTCATATGAAATGAAATCTGACAACAACCAGAACAGCCAAAGCAATTGGGGTGGAGTTGGGGAATGACGGAAACAACTTCCTGGCCTCAACTCTTGCCCTTGTATATCTGCGTAGGCACCATTCTCTGAAGCTTTTCTTCTTTATTCTTCATTTCACTAGATGATTAATGATACTAGTCATGATTGCAACCCAGAGCATGTTACCCTGAGTATTTACCCTGCTCACAAACCCTTCTGAGAGAGAAATAACCTGAGATCATATAGGTCACCGGGCTTTGTTGTATGAGTCTCTGCTATCTAATCCATAATCAATAGCTGAGAATATGTAAATTTATTTGATATGCATGTATTAAGTACCCAGTACTATGAACTATAACAGTGAGCAAAATACACTAAGGCCCTCTCCTCCAGGATCTCCATTGCATAGGTTGGTCTTCTGTAGGCCATGAAAGCTCTGAAGATTATTACCATCATCAAGAGTAGCAGCAGAAGCAGCATCATAACCAACTTTCATACAGTGTTAACGTGTGTTAAGTTCTGAGCCAAGCAAATTACCCCCTAGGCTCCTGTCTCATTCTGGAACATATTCGTGGAATTAATGTATTAAGCTTATCTTCATTTTATTGAAGAAATAAAACCCAGAAAATCTGAATAACTTCCTTTAGTTAATGAAACTACTAAGTGCTAGATCCAGAATTCAAACTCAAGCAATCAAAATTAATAGCCCAAAACTTTAAATGGGTGTCTTACTTTTCTTATTGTTGAGGTAAAAAACTCAACACACAAAGTTAAAGGAAAAAAGATTTCTTTGGCTCACCGTTTGTAGAGGTTTCAGTCCATAGCTGAGTGATGGCAAGGCAGAGTGGCCTCACAGAGGAGAAACAGTTCTGTGGATAGAAGGCAACAAAGTAACCAAGAAACAGCTGCATCAAGCAACTGCAGCATGTTTTTTCTGTTCCTTACCTTCTATCCAAACTACATGCCCGGGAATGGGTAGCACTCACACCCAGGGTGGGCCTTCCATCCTCCACACCCAGAACTCCGTGGCCTAATCTAGTAATCACACACCTTTAATCCCAACATCACACATTTAATTCTAGCATCACACTTTACATTCAGTCACTTCTGACCACATGAGGCTTTGGGGGGACGTCTAGACACAAGCCATAATAAGTTGATTGCGGTTTAAACTGATGATTATCATCTCAGCATAAGAACAGAAACACATTGTAAGAAACATTAAGGGGTAGGTTTATCTTTGTATCATGATCCCACTCTGCAATAACAGTGCTAATCCATTCTTAAAGGCAGATCGTTTGTGACATAGTTACTTCTTAAAGGCCCCAAACTTTCAACATTCTTGCATTGGGGTTAAGTTTCCAACACACGAATTTGGGGGAACACATTAAAACATAGCAGTGATTCTAAAAATCTATGTTTTTCTCATATGCAAAATACATTCATTCCATTCCAAAAGCCTCCCAACCCAGTCCAAATTTTAATTCATTCTAGTATCAATTCAAAAGTTCAAAGCCTACAATCGCAATCTAAATCAGATCTGTGTGAGACCCGGGCCATGATTCATCTTGAAGTGAATGCTTTTCCAGCTGAGCCTGTGAAACAGAGTAATTAGGTGCCTCCAAAGTATAATATGAAATAAGTATAGGAAAAACATTCCTCTCTGAATTGGAGAAATGGATAAGAAAAGAGAGTTAACATTTCTCAAGGCAGTCCAAAACCCAACAAGGAAAGCAATGCTTAATCTTCAAGCTCCACAATAACCTTCCTGATACCATATCCCACCTTCTGGGAACACCAGGGTACAGATTGGGTTTCCAAGGCCTTTGACAGCCTCTATGGCTTTCTTTGGTATCAGCCACCCCAAAACTCTTATGATTTGGAGTCAGGTGCCTGTACCTCTCCCAGGCTGGAAACACATGGTTTTCACACTTCAGTTCTGGGATCTCTCCAGCAGCCCTGGCACCATGGTTCCACTGGGCATTGCTTTAGTAGGGACTCCCTGCAGTGGCTCCAGCTGTCTAGTACATATACACAAGGAGATCGTCATGGTCCAATAGCTGGCATATTCTTAATGTCCCTTGATGCTTATCACTTGGAACCTCCAGAGCAGCAACCCGAGTCACACCTGGAGCCCCTTGAGCCACAACTGGGGTGGCTCAGAAACTGTTCCAGAATGCAAGAAGCAGACACTTAAAGCCATACACAGCAGAGAATGCTGAGGCCCTTCTCTACAAACCTTGTCCTCAGTCTTGCTCAGAGGCTGTGATGCAAGGAAAAGCCTTCAATATGTCTGAAATATCTTCTGAGGTCTTTCTTCCATTGTCTTGGTGAATAGCACAGAGCTGCCTTCTCTCTATGGTTATCCCATCATCAAACAGTTGCTTGGCCAAATCTCTCTCTCTCTCTCTCTCTCTCTCTCTCTCTCTCTCTCTCTCTCTCTCTCTCTCTCTCTCTTTCCCTCTGTGTGTGTGTGTGTGTGTGTGTGTGTGTGTGTGTCTCTTTCTGTTTTCTTAGGACTAAGAATTGAGACAGATCAGAGCCTTCATGCTGAACTGTATCCCCAGCCTTTTTTTTTTTTTTTTTCAATTTATACCCTGAGGGGCCTGGGGATTTAGCTCAGCAGCATAAGTGCCTTCCTTGCAAGCGCACAGTCGTGAGTTCGATCCCTGGTACCAGTTAAAAAAAATTTTTTTTTTTACTTTGAGACAGGACCTTGCTAAACCACTAAGTGCTCAGGCTGGGCTCAAATTTGTTGTCCTCTCCTGTCTCAGCCTCCCAGAGTGCTGAGATTCCAAGTGTGTATCTCTTCTCTTAATTATAACTTGTCTTTAAAGTTTCTTCTAACCATGCAGCAGCAAGCACACTTTGCTGCTTAGCTACGCCTTCCCTCTGCTATCCTAGTACACCACTGTTAGGCTCTGAGTTCCATAAAGCTCATGAGAATGGACACATTTCAGCCAAGTTCTTTGCTACTTTGTCACAAAGCCGGTTTTAACTCCCATTGCCAATTCTTTGTTTTTCATTATTGTCTGAGATCTGATCGGAATTGCCTTTACCATCCATATCAACATTCTGATCATAATTTAAGTAATTCCTAAGATTACAGCTTTCCTTATACCTCTTATCTTCTCATGAGACCTCACCAAAATGGTCTTTAATGTCCTATGCACAGGCTTTTTCTAACCCGCTCCCCCAAAATTGTCAAGTCTCTGTTCATTATGCAAGTCCAAAGACATTTCTATGTGTGTTAGGTATCTGAATAGCAAAATGCCACCTTCAGTAGCAGTTCTATGTTTTACTCCACTTTATGGTGCTATGACAGACAATCACTGCCTGAATAATTTATAACAAACAGATTTAATTCTTATAGTTCTAGAAGCTAAGAAGCACAGGGTCAGTGGACCATATCTAACTAGGCTTTCTTGCGGCATGGTAATTTGGAAGAAGGTGGAAAGGCAAAGGAGTATGCATGTATGAGAAAGAAGGGAGCTGGGTTCATCTTCTTATCAGAAGTCCATCCCAAAATAATTACACTCTGGCTATAATGCCATTATTCTGTTCATGACAGCAGACCACTCATGACTAAGCCCCTCTTAAAAGTCCTCACCTTGGGGCTGGGGATTTAGCTCAGCGGTCTAAGTGCCTGCCTTGCAAGCAGGCAGTCGTGAGTTCGATCCCTGGTACCAGTAAAAAGGGAAAAGACCAAAAAAAAAAAAAAAAGGTCCTCACCTTTCATCATAGTTGCATTGGCGTCTATGTTTCCAACTCATGAACTTTGAGAAACACTTTCCAACCATAGCAAATGGTTTTTATATTGTGCATTGATTGGAAAATATAAAACAAGAAAAGTTATTGATATGTTAATCTTACATGAAATTCAAATATAAATGCAAACAGTTTCATAAGTATACTCATGACCATCTATTTACATGTTATCTATGGCAGCACTGAATACTTACAACAGAGAGCCTATGAAAATGAGAAATAAAATACATACTCTCTGGACTTTAAAAGAAGGCTCAGTGACTCCCAATCTAGAGAACAGACAGGAGAATTGAAAGAGAGAGAATAAGGAAATATAAGTCGTGAATTAAAAAGAATAGAGCCAAGGTTGCCTAGAAATAGGAACAACAGAATTCAGAACTTTCAACAACCTTCTCCCATGACACTTGTTCTGTAATGGTTGAAACTGTCCATAGTGAGCTTTATCTTTTTATGTGTCCACTTAGTAAACATCAAATCAACAGGGTTATGTAAATATCAGCAAAGTAAAATCTTTATAAGTTAAGCAAATCTTTGTTTCTGTGAGGATAATTTGATTGATGTATCAGAACTGTTCAATCCATCAATTAATCAGTTACTACCAATGATTAGAAGACAAAGCTTGCTATTTAAATATTTGAGATGTCTTGTCTAATATCATAATCAATAATAATAATGTTCCTTTTAGAAATTTAATCTCATTTTGTTAAATGACACAGGAACTCCTCAAGTTGGCTTTAAATTGGTTTAGAATCAAACATAAATGGTGAATTCATTCTGGTGTCTTTCTGGCTTTGTAATATCCTGAATATGAGACCAAATAAGAGGAAAATTGAAAGTATGGCATCAGGTATCAGACTATCTAGGTTGGGCATGCCTCTGCTTCTCAGAATTTGTTTGACCTGGGCCAGCTTCTTAGCCTCTTTAAGCTTTAGTCTCTTTATCTATAAACTAGGATCAGGATTATGCTTATCTCCCAGAGTTAGTGGGAGGATTAAATGAGATAAGACACATCAAGTACTTAGAAGAGCATCTGGCACTCAGTAAGTGCTCAATAAATGTTTCCAGTGCTCTCAACGGTGTTATCTTTTAGACCAGAAAACTATAATAAGAGTGTCATATGAGGAAATAGTGTTAAAGTAAATTAGCTTTATAAAAAATGATTATTTTAGTTTTAGTTTATGCATTTTTCAAAATAAATCTTTCTTTATAAATTTGATGGTTGATTCACTTAAAAAATGTTTCATAAGAAGCAAAAGGCAAACAGAATTATACTCAAGTGGTATTTCCAAAATTTCTACTAATACATATCTTTATGTATACATTTCTAAGTAGGCTCACCATCTAAAAATTCCCTGGACATATAAATATGCCAAATGAGTTCATTCTAGAGAATTAAAATATAAACTCAACTGAGACACATTTTTCATGTTGCCCAAGGCACTGGATAAATGTTTCAAATATTAAAAAAAAATGTTTCAAATATTAAAATCTGGCAAAACTAAAGGATGAAATCAATTATTCTTTTATTTCATCTCTAAGATCTTAATAAAATGGAAAGAAAGAACTTTATATTCATCTGACAACATTTAGCTTTGAGTTCAGTCAACTGTCATTCACAATGAAATTTCTTAGTTTGGAAAAAGTACTAAGTAGTGAACCTCCTGTTCATTGTTCCCTTGGCCTTTACTATTAGGAAAGCCCACTTCCCAAAGACATGCAGTCTAGAGGTTCCCATCACTTACAGCGTTGCTGATGACAATCCTTTTTCTCTGTTGATATCAAAACCAAAAGAAAGGAATCACATTAACTCAACTTTTAAAAACCTCTCCTTTTTGACATCAAAGCTTGACCAGTAAGGTTATTTTTTAAACTATTGTGGCTATACCATTGTAATAATGGTTACCTGAAAACTGAGTGACAAGTAATTGTTGGTATTAAAATGACCCTTTCAAACTTTTCCTAATGTCACCTATAAAATTAAGATACTTTGCCCTTCATAGGTTGACACCGACAGACAACTGCCTTTTATTGTACCAGATTCTCTTTTTAGTTTGCAAGGATTGCACCCTGCATTCTTCTGGAGTGTGTTAATGTAAATCAC